AGATACAGACAAATCGTACAGCTACTCAGCTCAAAGGTGGGAGTTGCGCCAAGAAGAGTTATGCCGAAGCGCCGAGATTAGCGTGGGACAAAACTTTTGTGAGGCACCTCCGTAGTCTTCTCGACTATCCGCATTGTCCAGGTCGGTCAGGACGGGAGGCCAAAGTCACCAGACCCGAAATGGCTTACGCTGTGGACCATTGCTGAGTGCTCAACAGGTGAGAGATGCATTGTCGCATTGTCTACGGGCATACTGATGCCTCACTAGCCGTTATCATTGGTTGCTGTCCCGTGTTCGCCGCCACCGTGCCCAAGGGTTGGACTTGGCCTTCGAACCGGGCATCGCATCGTACCCAAGGCTACGTCGAGCAGTCGGCCAATCAGTCGGATGAGACTGCATCCAGAGGTCACCGGCTTCGGGATATGCGCAGTTCCAGGAGTCCAAGGAAACAGCATGAGAAGACGCCGCAGCACGCAAGTGTAGTCAGTCAGGACGAGCTCCCTGAACGCCGAACAGGAGGCACCGGTATTAGGATCACCGATGAGATGCGTGAGCAGCACAGTCGGCGGATGGAGGAGAAGCGGCGGATGGAGGAAGGCTACTTGGAAGCTCAAAGACCAGACAGTCGAAATGAACTGTAGCGGCCGAGAGTTGCTACAAATATTACTGCTATATCATGCAGGTGCCGACAGGGTCGCGGTGGCTATCTGCCGCTGTTGACCCACCAGGGAGGCTGACAGCAGGTCTGACATGGGGTGGGCCTCGCACACTGATAGCGTACAACAGCACATACGACCACGGGCCGCTGGAGAGTGGTCTTGAGTCAAGGCACCTGCTGAGGTATTTTAAAGGCCTGTTATTAGCACATGTGCACCGGGGTGTTCGGGTGGAGGAGATGGTCGTGGCCGTGGCCGTGGTGGCTGTGGCTGTGGCGGTGGATGGGTGGCGGACGTGGCTGTCGCGCTGACGTTACGATGCAAAACGCAGCGTGAAGCATGCGGCTGCGAGTGGAACAAAAAGTATACTGGGTGTATTATTATGTAGGTAGTAGTGTGAAACGGAGTGGCAAACGGCGGCCGGGTGGCCCAGGGAGGTTTCTGGGCAGTGTAGGGGTTTGCTGAACAAGCACCAGCAGCACCAGCAGCACCAGCAGCCACTAGCCGGGCGGCAAGTGCCGAGCTCGATTGCGCAGAACTTGAACGCAGGCGCTCCCAAACAATTCCATACTCTCTTCCCCACACCCCCCCAAGCCACCGCCCCCAGCCCGACTCTGCTGCGCGCAATTCCATTTTCACGACTGACGACCTCTTTGTTACGAACGTCTTTGCAAACACACACGCCCGCGCCCGGCACGTCGAGGCAGTCGCGTCGTTTTCAGCGTCGCACCCTTTTATTTCCCACCGTCGGCCCGCGCAACGTCGCATCCACGCGACGCCCATTTTTTATCAACCGCGTCCCCCAGCATGGCTGCCGATTTCGCGAGCGAGTCGCCGCTGGCGATGCAACTGCAGCAGGTGGTGCAGCCCAAGCTCGCCGAGTTTGGATGGACAACGGGCGGCGACGACACGACGCTGTTCGAGTACATCCTGCTGATGCTGGCCAACGACAAGAACGAAGCGCAGGTCGCCGCCGAACTCTCAAACGACCTGCTCGACCTGGGCCCGGAGAACACCGAGACACAGCAGTTTGCGCAGTGGTTATTCGAGCAGATCGAGCTCCTCAAGCAGCAGGCCAGCGGCGGCGATGCACAGGTTGCACAGTCGGTAGAGGGCCACATGGACAGCACATCGCACGACCACGCCGCGGGGGCCCACGACACAGACATGGAGGGCGTCTCCGAGTCGCAGGGCAGCATGTATGTACACACCGCCTCGCCCAGCACGTCGCGTCGGCTAACAAGACGCAGTCCCACGGGCCCCAAGGCAATGCGCAACGGCAGCGGTGGCCAGGCAGGACGCTCTGCACGCGGTGGCGGCCGCATGCTTAACCAGCTCAACAAGAACATGGACCGCAACAACGACTCGGTCCTGCATCGCGTACGCGGCGCTGGTGGAGGTGTGGGCCGAGTGAATGCCCACGCCCGCGATCCGCCAAAGGGCCCTAGAGGCCAGAACCTCGGTCGCGGAGTCGAGGCAATGGCAAGCGGCCGTGGCATGGGCAATGCCAATGTGAACATGGGCCAGAACAACATGAACGGCATGGGCATGGGCGGGATGCCTGGCATGCCCATGGCTCCAATGGGCGGTCAGAACAACATGAACGGCATCGGACTGAACCCACAGCAGCAGATGGCCCTGATGCAAATGTACGAGCAGCAGGCACAGATGATGCAGCAAATCTTTGCGGGCGGCGCCCCGACAGCGTTTGTCAACCCCAACTTCAACCAGAATAACCGCAATGGATCCAAGAAGCCATTACATCAGCGCATGGACCGGTCCCGCATGAATCCGAACGCCAAGCCATTCAAAAAGGATGGCGAAGACGAGACCATGGCCGACGGCCCGTCCGCAGACGGCGGCAACGGCATGGACGTTGAGCTGCCCTCAGGCCGCCCCGAGCCCTCATCGACCATGTGCAAATTCAACCTGCGATGCACGAACCCCGACTGCCCCTTTGTGCACCAGTCGCCTGCTGCGATGCCCGGCATTACCGTCGACATGAATGACACGTGCGACTACGGCGCAGCCTGCAAGAACAAAAAGTGCGTTGGCAAGCACCCGTCGCCCGCCCAAAGACAAAAGTACCAGTCGGAGCAGGAGTGCGCTTTCTGGCCCAACTGCCGCGACCCCTCGTCATGCCCGTACAAGCACCCGTCGGCAAAACCATGCCACAACGGTGCCGACTGCACGGTCGAGGGCTGCAAATACGGGCACAGCACCATCATGTGCAAGTTCAACCCGTGCCTGAACCCCCGTTGCCTGTACAAGCACGAGCCTGGCCAGAAGAAGAACAACACGAATGTCTGGGTGGCGCCCAAGGAAGGCGAGCACGTGAGCGAGAGGAAGTTTGTGGACGAGGAGCAAAAAGAGGAGCTGATAATTCCTGGCAAGGAACAGGAAATGAACCAGGGACAGGCACACGCTGGGAGCGTCGATGTGCAGTCATAGAATGGCATGAATGGGATAAGAGGAGACTAGCGGTGGACATGATACCATTGGAACGCGGACGCAGGGGGGAGGGGAACAGAGGAGAGCACTGTACAATAAGTCTGGATATGGCTCAACGAGGCGTTTTGGCTGGGGGCACCGCCCCAACGTGGTGAAGCATTTCTTTTGCCAAATGGAAGCTGGTTCCCCGGCAGCCATGTGTAGCTGCATTCTTCTTCCTAACTGTCGTCCACCTTGTGCATAGCTATGTGCGGTGATGTGTGTCCCTGCGTCCGTGGGAGGGGAGCCTCTGTCGAATCCATGACGGCAACAGTGGGCGGCCAAAGCTCGGACATTTTCGCGCAACTTCATCTCTCCACGAACACTGTACGAACACATGGCTCACAAACTTTGGTCGCCCGAACGCTCCTAGATTGCGACCAATTGATCGGCAATGCGGTTCCAGAATGTCTCGCACAAGACGTTGAAGACCGTTGCCGCACGCCCCGTGCTCGCGTCGCCATGCCACCTCCGACCGCGCCCCAACCTTTGCCGGCCGCTGCTTGCATCGTCGTCACCCCTCGTCGCACAATGTCGCCACCAGTCGTCGTATCCTGAGCGCATTGCTATTTTCGGCGGTGGGATTGGCGGCCTTTCGAGTGCCTACTTCATCTCCAAGGCGTTCCCACAGAGCAAGATTACGCTGTTTGAAGCGGGCAAGGAGACCGGAGGATGGATCAAGAGCCGGAGGGTTGAGGTGGTGGGTCAGGATGGAAAGCGCGGAAATGTGCTTTTCGAAATGGGGCCGCGCACGCTCAGGAACGCTACAGTCACCGCAGGCCTGGTACGTTACACATGCACGCATGGCAATCATTGTGCTGACCCATTGTGCAGATTCAAGAGCTCGGCCTCGTTGACGACATCACATACACCAAGCGTAGCGAGCCTGGCGCGAAGAACCGCTTCATCTACTACCCCGATCGACTCAACCGCCTCCCCTCTGAGCGCCCCTCGTTTGCCGACATTTTCTCGTTATGGCAGACAGGTATACTAGATGGTGCATTGGGACTGCTTACGGAACCCATGAAGTCCAAGCGGCCAGACTCCATGTCCGACGAGACAGTTGGGTCGTTCCTTGCACGAAGAGTCGACCAGCGGATGGCAAACAACCTTGTCTCGGCCGTCTTCCATGGTATCTATGCGGGAGACATCTGGCAACTCAGCGCGAAGACGATGCTTGCTCTGGCATGGCAGTTGGAAGGCCGATACGGAAATGCTCTTGGAGGTTTCTTCCGCATGCAGAACGAGGACCCGCGGCCAGAGCAACTTACTCTTGTTCATCCAGCGGATCTGGAATCGAAAAAAGCCATAAACAAGGAGATTGATCTGCACCTGGACTTTGCGAAGAACTTGGAAGAAACCAGCATGTTCACTTTCCGGAATGGCCTGCAGCAAATGGTGCGGGCTCTGCAGGATGCTCTACACGCAAGGGGGAATGTTGAAATCAGGACGGAAGCGACCATCCAGTCCTTTAAGCCTCTTACTGGCAGTGGTAAGATGGGCGTAGAGGTTGTTTCTGGCGTATGTTTCTATTCAACTCGTAAAGTTTGAAATGCTGACAACGGGTAGAATGAAGGCTCGACAACAACAGAGTCATATGACCTTGCCATCTCGACTCTTCGCAACACAGACCTAACTCCATACGTCACAGTCATGACTATCAACATGTTCTTCCCCAACCGTGACCTTCTGCCTGTGGAAGGCTTTGGTTACCTCATTCCGCAATCGGTACCTTTTGAGCAAAATCCCGAGCGCGCTCTGGGCGTCATCTTTGATTCTTCAGCCATCAAGGGCCAGGACACTGCCGACGGTACCAAGATCACGGTGATGCTCGGTGGCCACTGGTGGGACGGCTGGGCAGAGTATCCCACTGAAGAGGACGGCCTCGAGATGGCAAAGAGCGTTATCAGGAGACACATTGGCATCACAGAAGAGCCCACAGCTCATCTTGTGAACCTTGCCCGCGACTGCATCCCGCAGTACACACTTGGCTACGCCGAGCGCATGCAAGACTTTGCCCAGGGCATCTCTTCCGAGTTCAAGGGCCGACTCCGTGTCGTGGGCAGCCAGTTCAACGGCGTAGGCGTCAACGACGTCATCACCGGGTCGTGGCGGCTAGCCAGAGATATGATGGGCGAGGGCTGGAAGAGCACAAGTTGCGGCCTGGACAGGGCCACAGACAACAGAGAGTGGATTGTTGTGCCAGCGAGCGACATGGCATATGTAAAGGAAGAGGTTGGGCGTCCTGGTAGCGAGGGCATGGGTAGAAGAGGCGATGGAGGCGTGTAGATGGGTTTTGAAGCCGTTTGTGTATATACGGTTGGACTAGCAGTGAAGACAAAAGAATATAGACTATGAGTTTCTCAGCTTACTTGTGAATTGAATGTGCTAGTAGATGACTTGATGTGTTGCTGTGTTGAAGTAGCAAGTGATTAATCATCTATAGATCCTTGATCTATAGATCCTTGGGTTAGATTATACATACCATGAAGGCTCTGCATAAGTAGGCCACTATTGTTCTTTGTATATCAACGCAAGAAATAGATACTGATTAACTCCAAGGCAGAAATCTTCACACTTGACACATGTTGCGTGGTTCAATATACCCGACGTTTCCTCGCATCATTCGACGATGGAAACAATAGAATACTACACGACGGGATCATGTGAGTAACACGTTCAATACCACTGGGTATAGTGCCAAAGTATGATTACTGTAGCCTATACCGCATACTGATATTGATTTAGGCAAGGATACAAGGAATTCCGGATCATGCATGACTAGAACGTGATATGACTATATCTACGTGTTGACTCTAGGGATAAATTCTGTTTAGGTACATAGTGTGTTTGTGAAGAGCGACTTGATGAGTGTTTTTTTCGTTTTAGTGATTTTTTTTTAGTTTTCCATTGGAAGTTTATTTTTTTTTGTGCACTTGGTCTCTTTTGTATATGGTTGAAAGAAGGTTATTAGGGGGTAGGTAGTTACACCCTTTTTTTTTGGCTTTCTGTTAGTTTTGCACTCGAGTCGTGTCGAGTTGAGTCGAGGCTTAGGGGGTAGATTTGGTACTTGTGTCTACCTACTATTACCCGCAGAAGTAGTGGTAGTAGTAGTAGTAGTAGTAGTAGTAGTAGTAGTAGTAGTAGTAGTAGTAGTAGTAGTAGTATAAATACGAGTCAAATAGTTAGAAGTAATCAAACAAGTACAACTAAAACTCAAAACCAATAGATCCGTTTTACTTTCCCTTGATATACACCTATTGCAGTAGTGATAGTGACAGTGACAGTAAGAATGAGTAGTAACAAGTAAATAGGGGTCCATACACACACACACCCTCATACACACAGCCACATACATGAAGAAAAACTACGCCTCAACCCTGAAAAAAAAAGAAACGAAAGCAACGAAGAAAGGAAGAAAAGAAAAGCACTGCATGACTCGATGTATTGCATTACCCTTAACAACATGATTAGTATCCCACCCCCCCTCCCCTCCCCGCATTCCTCAAACCACGCATCCAATACTCCAATCAACAACCCGAATTTGACAATTCAACCCCTTATTTTTTTTCTTATTGTAATTCTGAATTGGGGGGGGGGGTTTTTTCCTCGCTAAGCATATACTACACTATACCAATCTAGTAAGTAGCTTAGCACAAGCACGAGTCCAACATACATGGACGGTGTAAGCTAAAAGTCTAGCTTCCATGCCAAGGGCATACCCACCAAGACCTACCAAGACATACCAAGACATACCATGAGAGTGTGTATATGTACTTGGGCAAGATAAAGTAAGTACTTGGTAGATGAGAGCAAGCGAGCGAACAAACGCAAAAACGCAAAAACGAGATGTGCAAATTCAATAACCCTCCCCACTCCTATTCGTTTGTCCCCCAACCACATACATGGTCAGACTCAAACCCCGATATTCGCATCAATCACTCCAATCCTGCTTCCCACTTCTTTCTCTTTCTTTTCTTTTTCTTTTTCTTTTCTCCTTTCTTTTCACCAGTACAACGACAAAGTACCACTACCACTACCACTACCACTACCGTTACACGTTACACGTTACACGTTACATGCTTGGCATCAGGGGCACCAGCGGCACCAGAGGGCGACATGCAAACGTAACGTAACATGACATAACGTAAATATAAATATACCACATGTAACCCTTTTTTTCCCACACATACACACATCACATTGTACCCGTTCCGTCCGCCAGGCTTGTTGAGTTACGTGTGCAATAGTAGGGGTGGGGGAGGGGGGGGGGAAAGAGGTGAAGTATGCTTTAGACTTTATATTATTTTATACTCTCCCTTCCTTCTTTGGCCTGCTTCCCTACATTCATTATTTTCTTTTCCTTCTTTATCATTTCTTGCTTTACTTTCTCTCGTTTTTTTTTCTTTCGTTAGGCGGTTGGTTGGTTGGTTGTTTGTTAGCGGGAGGTGGACGGATGAGGGAATTGGAATCGAGGGGGGTTTTTTTTTCGAGTGCTAGAGTAGATCACTGGGGAGAACTCAAAGGAATGAATGGGGCTGGGGTGAACATGATGGCTGAGGGATTTGGTTGCTAGGATTCTGCCTGTCGAACGGGACACGGGGGGGGGGAGGGGGGAGGGGGGGAGAGATATTCAAGAATAGAATGAGGTATTGAGGTATGCTTTCGACACGGGAAATGAAGAAGAAAGTTTGTCCTTGGGAGTTAATTTCAGTGGATATGAATAGACAAGGTATGACGAAACTCTACAGTGTGCTTCTATCAGTAGAAAGACTTTGATTGCAAAGTGATTAGGCTCAACAGCATTCCGTCAATGGTTTCACGATTTCCATTGCCAAGACTCCCGCAACCCAAGATTTCATGGCACAGTCTTAGCGAGCTGGAGCAATCTACTGTATGCATATGCGAGGATATGACAATCAACAATCACAGGCGTGGGGGTACGTCACCGTCTCAACGAAATGGCGGACAAGGCAGTGTCGGTCGCAAGGAGCCAAGAAGAGCGGCGCGCGGAAGTTGCCGCCGAATTGAGAAGAGCAGCGACCCAGCGGAGAGGGCAGATCTTGTACTAAAAGCAGGCTGCGTGTGGCACGCAATTGTGTGCCAAGGTGATCTACCCTTCTTGGCGCGCTATTTCCGCGCTGTGTTGAAAAGTCGTTGGACGTGAGGTCAGAGGAAAGGCAATGTATGACTGCAGGATAGCTTGAGTGGTAGTATCCGAGTCTTGACGGCAATAAGCACAAGGTCCAGGATGCAGGGCGTGTCTTGCGAGGGGGCATGCCTGTCGATTGCATCTGCACGTGTTTGGCGGAGTGAGATTCTTGTTGTGGAGTTGCATGTCTGCGTTGTACGTAGGCGGACGGGTGCTTTGGCACATGAGCATAGTGGAGATACAAAAGAGCAACGGGAAAGGCGTGTGGGCGGAATGTGGTTTTTTGCAGTCTTGGCGGGGTGGATGGCACTGCGACGTGTGCGGCGAGCTTGTGGAGCTGTGCGGCCAAGGCCAAGCACTGTACTCTGGATGCCAAGGCCAAGGAAATGGCAATATGGGTCATCTCGAAATAGCAGCATCTCGCAAGTCGAGAGTATGGCATGCATGTCGCCTAGTAGATTGACGCACGGGACACGAGGGGCCGATTGTTGAGTGCCAAGCGCGGAAACCGTATTCCTCTCTCGCGCCAAGAATGCTACCATAAAAGCAAGTTAGCATTGGTGGGATGTGCCAAGCTGGGGATTCCGACGGGCATGAGCGAGCGAGACGTGGCTGGCCATTGGCATTTGGAGAGATTGCGTCTGGCTCTGTGGCCCATTTGGGCCTGCACCACATGATGCGTTGTTGGCGTTATTCCTGTAGCAGCATCGACGGGCGGTAGTGTGAGTGTGGTGCTTACATGTGGTGCGCAAAGTGCCAAGTGGGTGTACCAGACGTGTGATATGAGGAGAAATGCGGTGTTGTCGTGGCGGCATGGGGGTTAGAACTTGGTTCGCTCAGCATGGCAGTTGAGCATGAGCGGCCTGACGTCCAAAGGCTAGTAGCTGGCGGCGGGGGGGGGGACTTTGGTTGTGATTTGCCTCTAGTTCTGCCGACGCCGGGGCAGAGACAAGCCGCGTGTCACGTACATGAACGGGGGACCTGCAGTCGAGTCTAGGATCGGCCGCAAGACGTGGTGACGGAGCTGCGGTCAGAAGAAGCAGTGCCGACTACTGCAGGTGCACACCAAGTCTCAGCACGACTCACCGCTCCGCGTGAGCCAGGTCCAATCGAGTGACGTCGGTTGGCGGAGCAGGGGGGGGGATATGCGGGAGAGTGAGGCGCAACACGTCGGTTGCAGGCTGGTAGCAGGCCGACTGGCACTGGGGCCGCCGGTGGGGGTGTTGACGCGAATGCTTCGCAAAGCAGAGGGCGACGATGATAGTGATGGGCGGGCGGCCCAGTGCGAGAGCGAGCGTGCGGCTGGCGGGCTGGCGGGCTGGCGTGCAGGCCGGTCAGAGGGAGCGCATGCGCATGTGTGTGTGTGTGTGTGTGTGTGTGTGTGTGTGTGTGTGTGTGTGTGTGTGTGAGGGTGAGCGTGTGCACGCGGTGACAGCAACCCCGCAATCCGAACATAGGCGTGGGGATGTGGATGTGCATGTATGCAGGCGGGCCAGCCGTGTCGTCGAGTGGTTGAGGCAGCACTATGGAGCGTGTGCCAATGACGACACGGCCCCCCACGATGCGCCTTGTTTGCGTCTGGTGCGTGTTGCTCTCAGGTAAGACGGCGGGCGCTGCAGCTGTGGACCAGAGGGCGGCGGCGGCGGCGATGCGGTGAGATGCGATGAGAGATGAAGCGACGAAGCGACGATGCGGTGCTGAGATGCTGCTGCCGTGTGTACATGGGGAGATGGGTCGAGTGCGTGGCCGGCGCCATCGACTTAGTTAGTAGACGCACATGGGGGGGTGGTGGAAGCGCGTTCGCGGGGCCAGCGAATGGCGCTGGGGCGGAAGCAGGGGGCGGACTCATTGTACATGCACCTGTACAAAGAACGACATGCTTGGTACCGTGAGGTGAAGCTGGCGGGCGGCGGCGGCTGCTGCTGCTGCTGCTGCTGACGGGCTAGCTTTGCAGGCCGTCGAGAGGGTTGGCTGTTGCGGCATTTTTGCTCCTCTGGCCGCCTGTGTCGTGTGTCGTATGTGTGTCGTGTGTCGTGTATGGCCTGCACTGCAGCCCAGCGGCCAGCAGCCAGCAGCCAGCAGCCAGCAGCGCGTGGCCATCAAGGGCGGCGGGGCGCGCAGTCAAGTCAAGCTTTTGCACGTCGCCATCATGGGTGGGCTCCATGGGCTCAAGGCCCCGGGTGTCGCAACAGGTGCATCCGACATGCAGGAGGGCGCGCCGTCGGTCGCAGGCGTGCGTATAGCGGTGCGTGTGCGTGTGCGTGTGGGGGTTCTGCGCTGACTGGTCGCGTCTGGTCTGGCGCGGCGGCGGCGTGCATTCAAGAGAGTTTAGCAGTGTCTTAGTCGTAGTCGCCTCGCCCGGGGGAGTCTGCTGGGGCTGGGCTGGGGCTGGGCTGGTGCGGCCACGGCCATGGATGGACATGGATGGGCATGGATGGGCATGGCGGGCAGCATCTGCCTGTACCGGAGCCCACACACTGCCTGGGGCCGCCCTGGTCGCGCTGCCCACGCCCGCTGCACATTTAGGGGCTATCACCGCCTTCGCCATCTCGTCCAAATTATTATCGTCGTATCTAAGCCCGCCCCCCTCCCCTCCACACCCCCCCTCTCCCACCCCTACCCCCGAAGGGTCATCCTAAAAGCAACACGCCGCCCCCCCAACGTCTCTCTGGCCCACCAAGGCGCCGAGGGACGTCATAACCCTCTCCTCCTCCACCACCATCTCCTCTCTTTCTCTCTTTCTCTCTTTTCTTCTCCCCCCCCCCGCTCTGCTGGCCGGCCTGGTCCTGGTGTGTGTGTGTGTTTGCCCGGCCGCCAAATCCTCGCAACCCCCCACCGCTTTCCCGCTGGTTCCTTGGACGCTGGGTGAATGGCTCTTCCACAATCACAGCCCTCGTCGCACGCCCTTCTCCTGCTGCCCACCCTACACCTGCACCCGTGCAGTCCGCTCGAGGGATCCTACCACTGGCCCAGTCCCCTCCAGCGACCGTAGCGACAAAGCCCAGCACAAAACCCCCCGATCTCTCCCCCTCCCCCCCCCTCGCCCTCGTCCGCGCTCGTGGACCCTTTCTCCTTCACGATTGCGCGCGCGCTCCCCCCGTCTGCCGACCAATCGGAGCTGCAGACGCTGCCGCCGCCATGCCCGTGCTCGCCGAACCGCCGCGCCAACTATCCATTTCTTTTGATGAGCAAACCCTCTCCGACCGATTGCGCCATCGCGACTCGCGCACCCACGACCACCGCCGCTTTGCCATTGAAGAGGAGGACGAGAGCACCGGCACCGCAAGCGAGCCCGCCGAGCCCCTGACGCCCACCAGCCATGCCAGCGACGGCACCCCCTTTGCCCACCCCTTTCGCGACGACGAGTCGGTAGACGATGTCTTTGCCACCCCGCGCCCCGTTGCCAGTGACGTGCCCACCAAGCCCTCGCCGCAACATGATGCACACGCTCCCTCGGAGAGCCCCCCGCCCGAGCAGAGCACCACGCCTCCGCCCCCGGACCGCCAGTCGCCGCCTGAGAAGCGCGGCCTCGGCAAGCGTGTGGGCAGCCTGATTCGTGGCAAGCTGCACAGAAGCCACTCGACCAAGGACGGCCCCATCCACTCGGAGACTTCGAATGCATCCACGTCCAGCTGGTCCTCCAGGGCAAGGCCCGAGACAGATACCTACATTGTCAAGACGGGCGTCGACGGGCCTGCCGAGCTCGCCACGCCCGCCGTCGACATCCCCCGCCAGAGCAAGAGGCTAAGCACCTTTTCTCTGACACGCCGCTCGGACCGCTCCTCACGTGCAGGCTCTCCGCCCTTGTCTGGCTCCCCCAGCAGCAGAATGTCCACTGACAAAAGGCCCGATTTTGGCAAAAAACCCGCATCTTCCACTGGCCTGGCAACCATGAGCAGGCCTCGGCCAGGCATCACTTGGGCTGGCAGCGGAACCATCACCACGACCAAGAAGTCTGGCTTCTCGCGGCGGCGCTCCGCCAGCACAGAGCAAGTGCCGCGACTGGGCGACAAGACGGAGAAGCCGACGGCCGGCATGCTGCCCACCTTTTCCAAGCCGGCCGCACAGGGCGTGGGCATGAAGGCACGGCGTCTTAGCGTGAACCTGCCCGATGATTTCATCATCGACTGGTGCGAGCTGGACAAGGAGTTCAAGAGCTCGAGCCTAATGCCTGGAAAGAGAGGGAGGATACTAGGCAAGGGCGCGACGTCTGAAGTGCGAATCATGGCGCGAAGAGGAGGCATCACCAGGGAAGAGGACTTGGTGGCGGTAAAAGAGTTTCGGGAGCGGGACAAGGAAGAGACGGAAGAAGACTATGTCCTGAAGATCAAGTCGGAATACAGCATCGCAAAGAGCCTGCACCATCCCAACATTGTCGAAACGGTACGCCTGTGCACGAACCGCGGCCGCTGGAATCACGTCATGGAGTTTTGCACGTACGGGGAAATCTACTCGCTCGTCGAGCGCAAGCTGTTTGCCGGTGGCGCCGAAGGTTACTACAGCCGCGACGATCGATTGTGCTTCTTCAAGCAGCTGCTCCGCGGCGTCGACTACCTCCACAGCCACGGCATTGCTCACCGCGACATCAAGCTGGAGAACCTGCTCCTGAGCAAGGACGGCCATCTGAAAATATCGGATTTTGGCGTGGCCGAGGTCTTTAGCGGCGAACACCCTGGACTGCGCGCTTCTGGTGGAGAGTGCGGCAAAAACATGGGACACATCCGGCTTTCGGCGCCTGGCATCTGCGGCAGTCTTCCCTACATTGCCCCCGAAGTCCTCCAAAAGGACCATAGCTACGATCCACGCCCGCTCGACATTTGGTCTACGGCCATAGTCTATCTGACCATGACGTTTGGCGGTTGCCCATGGCAGGCTGCAAAGACGGAATTCGAGTACTACGCGAGATTCAAGAAAGGCTGGGATCAATGGCTGGACGCCCATCCTGATGGCCAAATCTTTGACGGCCCAGACGGCCACCCCAAGTGCGGCAAGCTGTTCAGCCTCATAGAGCCTCCATCGATTAAGCGTCTGATGCTCAAGATGCTCCACCCCATCCCTTCAAAGCGCATCATGATTCGCGATGTGCTCAAAACAACGTGCATCAAGAACATTGCCTGCTGCTGTCCAGAGTCGTATGACGACCCCAAAATCACTTTCGATGCCTCCAAGGCGTCTAGCGCAAGGACAGCCGCACCCAAGAAGTATCTACATCACCACGTGCCTCCCAAACCAGAGAACAAGGTTGGCAAGGCATTTACCCACCGTTTCGACATGGGCGAACGGTAATGACGAACCTGTGTATATTGACGACGATTATTTCCTGATTCTATGCATTGGACCGGCGCGATCACATCGAGCATGGCGGGACAGCGAGCGGTAATGCTACATACATTGGCGGTCATTTTGCAGCATGGTTACCTTTTTTTGTAACTGCATATCATTGTCTTTATCTCCAGGCAGCAAACAGCGAATGCCATTGAGCCAAGTTGTTGACTGATTTTTTTTTTTTTTTTGTCTCCCATGTTGCTTATCATGATATCTCGGGCGCCCAGATTGCCATTGGTGGCCCCACGGAAAAGATGCCGATTGACCTAGCACTGAAGATCCCCACGTTTGATTCGGCGGCATGGCGCAAGCGTCTAACTGGTAGTCCCTGCTGATCTTCCGCTTCCTCTTCGGCGGCTCTGGCAACCTTGGCCTGACACATTGCACCGTGGCC